TCTTTCACAGCTATCCTAATTCGTACAGCTTTTTTTCACTGCAAACATGAATATTTGTTGACGTAAAAGCGTATGCTGACGCATGAATCATAGAATAACTGAATATGACTATGAATTTGAGATTACTTATGAAATGATCAACAAGTTTCATGAACGCCTCTATCGTAACAATCAAAATTTTCGATAAGTTTATCGTCTTTCCGAAGTAAATAAAGTGAGTTTTATACACTCCAATTGCAGGCGGCTTTACATAGTGTCAATACGCGATACAAACCCAAATACGAACGCAATTATTGAGTGAACGTATTTGTTGACTGGCGCATCGAACAGTGTCACAGTTCAACAAAACATTTGCACTATTGCTATTAATTCGATTATTGTGTTTTATTCGGCTTCGTATACTAGGCACGATAGTTGTGTAGCACAACGCGTCTCTATTCGAAACGAAAAAATTATAGTCAAAAAGATAATAGAACGTGGTCACCATGAAATTTTCAAATGAATACTCAGTCCCTGCTAACTCTTCCCAATAAATGGAATCGGTCACTCAACAATAATATTTCGATTGTTGACGATTGGCTCGGGCTCGAAGCAGCGGATATTACTTTTCGATTTCTGCTCTTTCTCAAGTTCTCATCAATTGCCAGCGATTGTCTAAATCAGGTGAAACGCGAACGGGTCAGCAACCAATTAAGCGCTAGCATCATCACTTAAGATCGCCGCTGATCCATCTCACATATTGAGTTACGACAGTTCCGTTTCATCGTTTTCGCCTCTGCACAAACAAATATATTACAACTAATGTAACTGTTACCACCCAGACATCAGTCTTAATCACGGCGAATGTGTTAGATTTATGACCTATCGAAATGTTGCTGTAAACATTTCTATCAATAACGAAAACAAACGCAACATTCATCACCTAGCTTCACCAGGCGATACATAAATCGCACATAAAGGAATGGTGCTAACAACAAGTTTTTCGCTCTCTGAAGATGCAACATGCAAATGAAAAATTAATGATGTTGTGTTGCGCCCAACAAATGAAGACGAAAGCCATTTTCTNAAAATGAATTTGAATTAATTTGGACACTTTATCAGGCGCATCACTGATTCATACTGTTTTAGAAATCATCGACGGCATACAAGCTTTATAGTTTTTGTCATTAAAACACCAGATTATAAAATGCGCTCAACCGATGGCGCATTAAGAGCAATTTCGCGGAAACAATTGCTGAATCGTTCACTTTTAATAGCTGAATCGCGAAACATCTGCTGTTTAAGCTGATAAAGTTGTTCAATCATTCGCTTAATGTTCCGTATTGACAGGTGCTCTTCGTGTGTTGCTGAAACTATAACAATCCCGTCAAACTTTCAACACTTGCCATTTGAAATACTTATTCAATTCAACTCTTTTCCACTGATTTTATTTTTTTGGATCGTCTTTCGTTGGCGCTCCGTTGATAGAAAAATCATTCTATACAATTTTTCACTTATTGACCTATTGTTTCACTTATTGTTCAACAATGATACCAAATGATGTTTAAATAATCAGCTAAACATTGAGAATAGGTTCAACCAAGCAAATATCATTCATTGTATTT